CAGCGTCACCCCAGGGAGCTGCCGATGGGTTTCGGGCGCAGCCTTCTCGCCTGTTTGCGCGAGCACCTCCCCTCGACTCACCTCCCCAGACACCGCCACCTTCGAGAGCGCCAGCTGCACCTCCTCTTCAGTCATGTCCAAATCAAAGTCTTTTTCCCAGTCCTCGCTGATATCCGTGCTGGAGCCTGTAAGCCCAAACATCACCACTGAGCCGTCGGAGCCGCGCCTGCTCGCCAGATGCAGCACCCACAGGCACGCAACGCCCCGGCGCTGAGGAGGCCCAGCCACCGCAGCCGGCCCGAGGAGGGCAAGCCCCTCTTCCCAGGAGCAGGCCGTCAGCTCGCCACCCGGGGGACGGACCCAACCGCACTGCCCTCGCAGCAGGGGCTGGGTCGGAACGCTGAAACACGTTCTCCTCTGGCCTGGGATGCGTCCCGCTTCGGTCACCCGGGAAATACAGCCGGTAAGGAGTGACTGGAGGGAGCTTGACACGGGGACTGTCGCACCCCCGCACAGCACGGACCACCTCTGCGGCAGAGCGGCCGCAGGGACGCTCCTGGGGGTGACACACCGAGGGAAGGCAACACCGCGTTCCCCGCGCAGACCACAGCCCCGCCCCAGCACGCCAGGGACCAGAGGTCCACCCTGTTCAGCCAACAGACCTCTGATTTCTTGTCTAATTAATTTCATTCTGCTCACAGACCCGGCTGACGATACCTGGCCACCTTGCTGGCTCTTGGGTTGCCTCCAGTGGCTTTCTAACCCCATAACCAATGTAACCACTGCTCTGGGAGGCTGGCAGCAGGCTCTGCAGAAGGCAGAATCCCCCGCAACAAAAGGTTTGTAAATAGTGTCAGAGCTGTGACCCTGCCCTCCTCCGGGTCCTGGAGGGGTCTCGCCCTCCCTTCTCCAGAGGGAGCACCAGGAGCAGGCTCAGGAAGGGCTCAGCTGCAGCACCAGCCCAGCCGCCTGCGGAGAGCAGATTGCCACCACCCAATGCAACCCGCCCGGCCCTGTCCTACAGCACAGGGATCTGCCCCTGCTTTCGTTTCAGCCACTAGAGAGTCTTTGGACCTAACGCTCCTGGGTGACTTTGGCAAAACCCCTTCTCTCCATCACTGCAGAATCGGGCCCTTTACCCAAAAGCTGCCACCCCAGCAGCAGGTTTCCGGGCCCCGCGCTGGCCCCACATACGCACCTTTCTTGCCGTTGTTGGAAGGAGTGGATTTCCCGCTATCGGAGTTCAGCTCAAAGACTCGTAGGTCTGTCGGTCCTTCCTCTTTCAGAGTCTCTGTCCTGCCCTGGGCTTTGCTCCCCACCTCTCGGGGCTCTGTAGCAGCCGGTTGCTCTGAGGAGACTGCGGACACCCGGGCAGGTGCAGAAGGCTGACCGGGTTCTGGGGGCTTTGGCAGGGAGCTCTGCTCGTCCGAGGTGGCCTCCAGCAGCCGCTGAGAGAGGTCTCCGGTCCCAGCTGGCTGTGCTCCAGTCTGTAGCTGCGCAGCAGGCACAGAGGCAGGGTTTGCAATCTGAGTCACAAGGGAGATGCTCTCACTGCTCTCAGAGGGGCTCCCCTCCGCTGGGGCCGGCTCCGGAGGGAGGACGGCCCAGCTTCCCTCTGAGGGTCCCTTGTGAGCAGCAGGGTGGCTTCCCTCCAGGGCTGCGGTGGCAGATTCTTTCTCTGCTGCTTCTGGAAATTTCACGTTTGCACAAGGCAGGGGTGACATCCCCAAGAACTCCTCTGTAGGAAGGCAGAAGAGAAGCGAGAGACATTTCAGCAAGCGCAGCAGCAGCTGACAGTGCAGCAGGGCTGGCTGCAGCTGAATTTGTGGGAGAGAGGAGAAGCCACCACCCTCTCTAACTGCGACCTGCCGAGGTCTGCGCGAGCCCTCCCGCAGACCCCCAACCATCCGACCCACCTTCATCCTCTTCCCAGCCTGGCTCCTCTTGGTGAATGCTCTGCTCCGCTCGCTGCTTCAGGGCCTCCCGCCGGGCTTCATCCTGCAGGGAATTCAGCGTCAGCAGCTGCTCAAGTCCCCAGTCCTTTCCTCCCCGAGGGATTTCAGCATCAGTGACAAGAAGGACATGGGCAAGGCAGCCCAGATCCCTCCTTTTCCAGGAAAAGCACCTTCTGCCTCTTTGGTCTGCGTCACTGAGCTCCCTGGATGGAGTGCCCGCCCCCGGGGAGACCCCCACCCCTCCCGACCTACCTGCTCCAGGCGATGCACTTTATAGAAGTAGCGCTGCCAGAATTCCAAATGGGAAACAGCCACTGGGACCTGGGAGCGACAGGGAAACCACCGTGAGTCACGTCAGAGGGCAGGCTGCGGTTGCTGCCTTGCTCCCCTCTCCTCCCGAGCCTTGCAGCTGCCCTCCTGACTCGCGCAAGGCACCTGCGTTTTCAGGCGCACAGACACAGGTCCAAGCCCCAGGCAGGTGCCGGCAGACGCTCAGACACACATCGGACAGCGACAGAGGAGCTGCTCTTCCAGGCTCGTGCCAAACAGGCAGGGAAGCAGAATGCAACACGCTGCCCAACGGCCCTGTGCCAGTCTACCACGCACCCACAGCCCTTTCTCCCACCAACACCAGGGCCCAAGCAGCTCCGGGCTACCCCAAGTCAGAACTTGCCCCCCACTGGCACCACGCAGGGCCTTACCATTTTCGTGTAGAGAGCCCGGATGGAAGGGCTGGTTGCCAGCAGCTCTGCTATCTCCCCTTTCTTCTCCTCTAGGTTAAACTGAGAGAGCCAGGCCTCGAGGAGCTCAGCGGGGCCTGCAGAGGACAAGCACAGGGATAACAGTCCTTGGCACAGACAGGGCAGGAACAGCTTTGGGAAGTTTCACTGGAAAGGTGCTATGGGCTAGCTCAGCTGGGCGAGCAAGGGGCAAAGGAGGAGGGACACCTGGGTCCCTGTGCCCACCCCACGCCATGGGTCCTCTTGTCAGCACCAGGCCACGTGGCACCTGCTGTAGCGGTAGTTTAAACTGGCCCAGCAAATTCCCAGTCCAGACCAGTCCCCAAAGCAACAGACAGATCTGCTCTCCACAAACGGTGATCCCAGCTACAGCCAAGCCAGCAGGCCTGCTGGCGACAGGCTCCGGGCACTTGAGGACAGCCCACAGACCCCACGCGAGTGCCAGCTTGGCAGCACCACCAAGCCCCACTGTACCATCGGGTTCGTTGCAGTAGGTGGCCGGGTCTGACTGGAGGCTGTAGAGGCGAGCCTGGAGGAGAAGACACACAGGGCAGAGCCGTCAGCGGAGGGGCAGCAGCAGAGCCCCGAGAGGACAGGGCTCGGGGCTCCACATCCCGCAGAGCGGCTCCGGGAACAGGGCGCTCACCTTGGCGCTGTCATAGGGCTCCGTGGTACCTGTAGGTGTTGCCATCAGCGTTATGACATCACAGTCAATGGTCTTATCCGGCGAGGGAGCAAATGTGTCCGAGATGACACCCAGGAAGTCAGAGAGCCCTTTCCTCACCTTTTCAGTCGCACCAGAGGAACCTTCCGCCCTCTTGAAGACAAAAAGCAGTACAGGGTAAGTAACAGTGCCTGCAGCAGCAGGACAAGCCTCAGCCCTTCCTGGACAGGTTCCTTTAAGGAAGGAGGATTTCTCTCCCTTCAAAGAAGAGCTAACAAGGCAACTGTGGGGCCAGGGCTGGGCTAGAAGGGCATGGTGGCCAGCAGAAGCAGCCTCAGGTGGCAGTGGGGCAGGGAGGTTTGTGGGGAACTGAGCCCAGGCTTTGGGGGGGGCGGGGAAGGACTGAGCCAGGTTTGGGGACTGGACCGTCACAGCGGCAGCTGCGCAGAGATGCGATGTCACAATACACCCACTCTGCCAGTACCCCACTACACAGCACGCAGGGAGAGAGAAAGCACAGGAACTTGTCTCCACTCGTCTCCAGAGCTTCCTCACCGCTACAGCAAGGAAATCCCACACAGTGCTCGGCACCAAACCTGCACTGGGGAGAAAGTCTGAAACCTGAAGCTCGTGGTTAGACGCTGGGGTTTGTTCAGAGGATCCTGCCCTCGGAGGCAGGCAGATCCTATCCACCCCCCGCTTTGCCTTCTGCCACAAGAACCCCAGCGCGCTCGCTCCCACACTCACTGCCAGCTTGTCCTTGACCACGCTGGCCGTAGCGGCGATCGTGCAGGCTGTGTCATGCTGCACGACTTGAGTGAACTCAGCCAGGTCCCGTTTCATGAACTCCAAAGCTTCTGTGGACTGTAAGAAGACGACAGACAGACTGTGTGATCTTTCTGCTCTCCAGCAAAGCCGCGGCCACTCTGGGAACACCCAGCACATTACAAAGATTGAAGCGCGAGAGCCTTTAACCCAGCCGAGCCCTCACCCCAGCTGGTGCAATGGGCGAGACTGTAACACCCAGAATAACAGCGGGGAACATCTACGCCCGAAACATGTTAGAGTGGGGTGTTTTAAGCTAAGAATGAACAAAGACAGGTTAGGAAAAGCCTTGTCGTGAGCTTTGTGTACAATTAACACAGGCCATGCCATCACTGGCAGGAAGTCTCACCCCGCAGCGCGATGCTCGGGCCGTACCCTCCCCACACAGCTGGTGATGTTCACACCGACA